CGAAACTACCTTAATAGAACTGCTTAACTGAGGCGGAACCAACGAACGAACATGGTTAGGGTTTGGGATAGAGATTCGAGTAACACAGATGTCAGTTACAAACCTAATATAACTGAAATATCTAAAGCTTGTATTATTCACAGTTACCTCTCGACCGATAGCAGCAAAAACAATCACACTTACCGCTCATTGCCCGACACTTGCCATATTTCTTGACCTGAAGCCAGCATCGGACTGTCAACTGTGAGGTGTTGTGGCAGCTTCTGACTGTGTAGGGAGTACCAAACAAGTACATAACGCGTATCAAAACTCTCTACTTGTATATCACAATGGCCTAACGAGCTACACTGGCTGGAACACATGTTGTCTCGAGGTAGTATCATACCAGTTTTGTTGGATAACGGTAAGACAAAAAATGATTGCCGTTATAATTTAAATCGCTACGCTGTGATAGGGTGTCAGAGGGCGAAGTGGTACTGCTGGCTGCATGAAGTGTGATAGCACTAAAATGTTCCCCTTGGGTGACAAGTAGTATGATGTTAATACTGTCTTCATACGGTAACAGGGAGTTTAAAAAAAGTCGACCTTAGGAATAGCACACTCCACCGTGCCCCACAGTCTTCCAGGGCCGGTGGTATGGGTTTCCTCTCTCCGGCGTAAGAACTACGAAACCTCAAAACACCCTACAGTCATCTATGTGCTGTGCGACTAAATGGAACTGTAAAGACTAGGAAGGACCATGAGACTAGGTGATGCCTACTCGTAACCTCCGCCTACGCAATCACCCACTGCAGTTCAGATGATCCAAAGGATAGATTCTATGAGAAGCTGTCAATTTTTCCACAGAAAGTTAAACGTTCAGATGTAGTCATAGTGGCAGGTGACTTTAACACTCAAGTAGGGAACCTGAGCCAATCGGAAAAGACATCTTAGGGATGTTTACGGAAACTCATCCCGACGAATCGAAAGCGGCAATCGTCCGTTGTAATTTTGCTCTGATAACCACTTGTTTTTGACCAGCACTAACTTTAGGTATACGGAGAGACACCGTCCCACATAGCGTTCGCCAACTTCAAACCAAAGATGAGCACATCATACTGCTTTCTAAAAGCCATCTTTAGAGGGGATCGGCAGACGATTCGTGCTCTTTCTGCAGTACCAGTTAGGACTCCAATAACACACTAGAATAGCCTCATGTATGTCTGGGCTTTAGTGGTCGCAGGAAACAGAGAATAGTAAAGCTTGTCTATGCTGGATTGAAATATGAGGAAGTTTAGTCCCAATTTAGCGAAAAGATAGCTAAGTACATATCTGAACGTGACGGCAATGATGATCGTGAGGAAACTTGACGTGATGTTAAGTCTGCTGTAGAAAAAGTACAAACAGTCTGTAACCTACACATGAAGGTTAGCAAACTTCACTGGATTTCCACAACGTCATTCAAAATGACAGGTGCGAGAAAACTTATTCTATCAGTCTCTGACTACAATGAAGAACGAAGAAAGTTAAACGTAAATTGACTAAGTCTTCGCGTCGATCACCAGCCCTGACGGCTGACGAAAACGAGAGAGATGGAGAAGGCATCAGGGCTGAGTAGTGCCCATCAACTCTCTAGGCTTAATAAGGATACCGGCAAGAAGACGTTAGGTAGCAAATTCATCACCGTAAAGCGCGGGATACCAGTGACCTTCCAGGACAGGCATATAGAACGTTGGGTAGAACACTTTGAGATACAGTTTAACTGGCCTTCACCAACGCTTCAGCCATCCAGAATTGAGCTTGAACCTTAATGAGACGTAGATTTCGGTCCCCGAACTCTTCTTGAAGTTGAGAGAGCTGTATCGAGCCTGAAACGATGTGAAGAAGCGGGACCTGACAATTCGCCATCCAGTTTCAAGAATGGAGGTGGGAGGTTGCTAATTAAAGGGACAGAGTTACTAGGCAGTGTATGGGAATCACAGGTAGTCCTGCCAGACTGGCCTACTTCACTGGTCAACCCCGTTCCTAAGAGAGAAAATTCTTGTGAAAACCGTAAGGAAATTAATTTGATCAGTATCGTGTCCGAGATCCTAGAGCTCATAGTTATCCAACAACTAATTGGAGCTCGACAACAGCAAACATGAGAACACCTGGGAGGTTTTACACTTAGATGAGGGTGTATCGATCAGATTTCCACGCTCCGATAGGTCCCGGGACACAATCACACTCACCGCTCATTGCCCGACTTGCCAGATTTCCTGACCTGAAGCCAGCATTAGAGTGTGGGAGTGTCTGACTGCGTAGGGAGTATCAAAAAAGCTCTCTACTTGAACTCACGCAACGGTCTCATGGCTTATGGAGAGTTGTCTTCGGAATTGACAACAACTAGTGATGTCCACAAGGGATACCCACTGTCACCGATCCCACTTAAACTCATCATAAACGTACAAGTGGACACAATCTTAGGTACCTCTGAATTCACGGAGATTAATCTGCTTTTTAGAGATCATCTGGCTGACTTGGAGTACGCAAACTATATTGTCCTGCTAGGTGTAGACGCTGGAAAAACGTTGGATCTTCCGAACTCGTTGAGCAGAAATCCTCGTGTTTGGCATGCATTTCACATCTGCCACATGTAAGATGATGCTCTAGGACTGGTTCGCAACCATTTCCAGTTTATTAGTAGGGAGTGAAGTGATGAAATGTATCTACCACTTCACTTATGTGGGGAGTAGCATCAGACGGAATAATCTGGTTGCTTACGAAATCTCAGCCAGGATACAGAAGGCCCGTTTAGTATTTGCCAAGCTGTACCATCCCTGACACTGACTGGTGAGATATCCGACTACCTATCAAAGGACGAGTAAACTCCAATGCAGTTCATTCTCCTCTTATACGATTGTAAGGCTTGACAGTTGAAAGTAAGACACGAAGCGATTCCTAGGTTTTGATCACAAATGTCTTCGTAGCATTGCTCGCGTTTGATGAACTCACAATGTGGGCAGTGTTGAGGTCAGGTGAAGGGTACTGGGTAGGAAAGACAAGTCTATTGATGAGGTTGTGATGCACAGCCAACTGAGATGGCTTTGACATGTGCTGATCATGTCGAGCCACCGCCTACCTAGGGGTGCAACGCTAGGCAGAGTGAGATTATGTTGGAAGAGTTCAGGGTGGTCAGAGCAAGACCTGTCATCAGTCGATGAGATCTTTTACTATTGGCCTGAGTTCTGTGGGGAGATGAAGACTACTTGGCTGGGGTCCCCGAGACGAAAGGAACCGGTGGTAGAGGAGTCTTGGTGATATGGCTGAAAGTTGGTCACAATGGCCTAGATACATTCACTCCTGGACATGTAAAGCTTGAATATTCGCACTAACCTTTATCTTCAAACTGCTTGTTCGCTAGCACAACTTTTACTACTTTACTATCACCCCTTTTCTATCCACCTGTTTTTCTGGTGGTGTTGCAGCTTGAGCCGATACACTTGTGTGAGGTCTTACGTTGCTTTTGTCAGTGAGTCTTTCTTCATCTTTCTTATTGCTTTATTATAGGAGTAAAAATTAGGCATTCTGGTAGATTGCAATTCCATTTTAGTCTGCTTATTAAAATGTCACAGTGAGACAGTATCATTTACTGGATAACGTTTCGAACATAATTTATTGTCTATATTCACATGATATGATATGAATATGAACAAATTGTGTCTGAAACGTTATCCGGTACTGTTTCACTGTGCCATTTATAATAAACAGGCTAAAATGGAATTCCTATTGCTTTATTTCATATGCTGTCATGAAGCGCGGCAACTTGGACCGTTAAGCAGTAATGCCTGGTCCTGTGTTGATATGAATGAGGACTCACGTGATATCTCACTACAGGCGATAACACCACCACAGGCGTCCGAATGCAGAGCCCCTAACGGGGCGATATACTTTTCCAGTACTCCTACCAGTGAGAGACAGCACCTTGAAACCTCGCAATTGACGCATTTAAATGTCACAGTCAGGTCGGGAAATACATCGAATGTTAAGCGCCTGCGAGTGTACGTGTTTCAGTACCTGGCGAAGGGTGAATATCTGGCAGACGCATGTGCGACCGCTTCTGAAACGCGTTTTTCTCAGATTTCTGTTACTGACCCTCGTTTAAGCGTCTAATCAACATACGATTCAAGATCTTGGGTGTCGTTTGTCAAACTCGCGGTCTTGTGATTGTCACAAGAGGATTCCTCCCCTCTCTTGAAAAGTGGGAAAATCAGTGATGGGGATCAGTCAGAGGGGATCATACATAATTCTTGTACGCAGCTAACTGATAATCCTTGATCCTTCACACTGGCCCATCTGACTCTACTTCTCTTCTTCACTTCAGGATATTTGCAGCCTACTCAACTTCTGAGTGCTGGAGGCCAAGGCCAAAGTGACTAGTCATTCACAAACACTACGTCGTCGCTCATGTTTTTAGCTTAACTAGATGTAGTGCTGCCAAGGAGAGATTAGGATGAAAGGCGAACATTACAGATACTGTGTAAAGGAAGACGGTTATCTATACTGTTTTCTGGGAGTAATAATGATAAACACTGATGTAAATTAGCTACAAAATTAGTTCCATTCACACTTAGTTAAGACCGCATATCTAGTTTTTTGTATCACTAACCTGGCATTTCTACGTTTTTAGGAGGTAGATCAAAGTAAAACAACGTATGACAAGTGAATAAGTAATTCATATTTAACGGAAATGTTAAATACAAGCCTATTTCTTAGTGAGAATTGAGAACGAATATATTTACAAATGAAATATGTAATCCAAATAAATTAAGAATAATTAACTTACATAGAAAATAAACAATTTGTGAAATAACCCTTATGAATCAAATCTTAATACAACAAATGTTACCTTGATTTAAATCATGGGGATTATATTCCAGTTTGTAGCAGGGAATGTTTGTTTGAATAACAAGGTAGGTGACTGGAAACGAAAGACAAATGCCACTATATCGCTCATATGTGAGCCAATAGCTTGAGTACGTTTAGCTCTCCTTTGCTATTTCCAAATCACTTGGAGAATTAGGTCTGTCAGTAACAGTGAAATCTCTAAACCGACAGCTAACAAGTAGTGTTGGAAAAACTGATGACAAAAACATGCACAGGAACACCAAGGTAGGGTAACCAATTAAAGAACCACCAACATAAGGTCCAATCAAAAAGGCTACATTTACAACAGTACGGAAAATGGATTGAGCTCGATCCATATCAGAAACTGGGGCAAGTTTAGTGTACAAAGATTCTGAATAAGCAAAAGCAAAAGGAAGTCCGACCACATGGATAGCTATACCTGTGAGTGTCAAGGGAATACCCACACGAACAGGGATGTCAGGAAGTAAATGAACCACAATGGTCAACCAGAGGTAAGAAATCACCATAATAATAAGACCTGCTAGTAATAAAACACGGTCTGTATAAAACTGGTTAAGAATGCGTAATACTACTACCACAAAAATAATGAGAATACTTGCAGCAAGATACACGTAGCTGGTTTCAACTTCTGTCCAATTAAATATCCGGTTGGCCACTGGCGGCAGTGCGGCTTCTAAGCTCATGAAACTGAAGTACGCTGCGAAATTCACACAATAGAGGGCAATAATGTTAAATGACAGATAAGGTCGCATGGTGCTACTCATTACGACAGTATTAAATCGACCAGAAGATAACGAATCTGTAGAATCACTCAGCATTGGTCTAGAGTCTTCCTTGGTTTGTTCATTAGTCTGTATCCAAGCTTCCCGACTGCAACAAGACCGTTGACCATCAGTATAAATCACACGACCATTTTTATCAACATTTGGATAGCAAAACAATATGATGAATGAATGCAAGAACCATAAAATTGCCATAAGTAGTCCAGGTCCATTATAAACATTTAGCGTGAAATTCGCTACTTGATAATTCATCTTCGCCATCATCAAAGTGAAAGAAGGACCGAATATGAGGCCAATCTGGCGAGTAAGCAATAAGACGATAATGTATGTAGTACGTTCATCGCGATTTGTCGCTCTCACGATGTCGGCATACAGAGGGGGTTCACAGCTAGCTCCCATTCCGGAGATCAACCTTCCCAGTATAATTGCTGATGGGACTGGAGCAAACAAATAAATAAGGTTCCCAACTATTTCTAGGAGATTGGCAACTAATAAAAGCGTTTTCACACGAACACCGGAATAAGCAGCAAGACCATAGATAGGAGTCATAATGAGAATCGATAGGCTGAATGCTGCAACGGTAACTCCATAGTGGGTATTAGCGACATCTGGACCCCAGTATTCTTTCAGGTAAGCCAAAGTGTTGGTAGTATTACAGCGCGTTCAACGCTTGACAAGAAACCCCAAGTAGATGCTGTAAATCCCATCCAAAACTTATGAGACCATATAGTTTGTCTGCAACATAAACAGCAACGGCGACAAAATGGCATGGTGGACTTGCTTGTAGTAGAATATTTACTATCTGTGCTACTCACAGTAGTCACATCTGAAAACTGCCGGTGATGTCGTGGTTTGATTTTGCCCAAGTCGGGAGCTGAAACAACAGTGCAATCAACCGCTTTCACCTCATTCATTTCATAGTCATCTTTGAGGTTTTGTGGTGGATAGAGAACTGTAAACATACCGTATATAGCAGTATGGATCGTTAGACAAACATGCATGAAAATTTTAACCAATCAGATAGGCCATAGGATAAGGCCAATACACACAACTATTATTGACACACATGGACTGTTAGCTGATTGGTTTTGAACTGTGAATCGAAGTAATCATGCTGAAGATTATCTGACTTACGTTTTTAGCTATGCCTAATGATGCTTCATGCCAAACCAGCAAGTTTGCAAAAAGTCACAACTAAGCGAACTGGGCCTATCGACCGTGGATAGTGGCAGCATCTGAACGATGTTAGTAAAACGTAACCAACCTCATGACACGACGGGCGTTTGTTAGTTTAGCGAAAACAAAAGGAAGGGAAGATAGCAGTTTAGATTCTAATTTGTACAGGAAATAATTACATGAGTGGCTCTAAAGCCCATTCTACGCACTACTGAAATAACCAGCTCGGTTTATGCATTTTCCGAAAAAGCTAACTGTCAAGCTGAAGCGAAGAAAACTAACTGGTTATCCTAGTGATCCCTAAGGTGATTTTTAGAGTCACCCCATCACACTAGAACAGTTATTTAAAGTTCAAGTTGACTAACCTTATATCTGTCAAGGTAAAATGCATAAGTAATCGAGCTAGAATTCTGATGAGTAAACCAGAAAATCTAAATCAGAAACCCAAATACTTTGAAGAGACATTAGTACTTAATATTAGAAAGTTTATAAGGATTCATAAAAGGTGCAATAATAACTGTAACATGTCTACGAGGGGATTCGAATCTTCTCTAGTGTTGTTGGGGTGACATTTAAACCCAGAGAGGCTAATGTATCTAGTAGACCCAAATATGCAAAATAGTCAAATCTATTAAATACCATATAATGGTTATGAGTTCAAGTACGTGGATCAAAGTAGCCTATCAGAGTCAGTCACGCTGAGATTATATTAAAACTTACACATGTAATAAGAGAATGGTGAACCCTAGCAAGAAAAGTAATTGAGGGGAAAACTCGATTATTGCTCCGCTTCCATTAACTCATAACCACACTGTGGGGTGGGGTTACAGTTCTTACAAAAATCCAATATGGCTTGGTGGAGGGAGAGGTTGATTGCGGAATGCTGCTTCATCGAAATGACACCGAACACATGTAACGAGAGTGAGTCATCATACATTACATACACACTAGTACCATTTAAAAAAAAGGATGAACAGCTGTTGGATGATTGTTATTACTTTTATGTTCTTGTCAGCAATGAATTCCAATCGAAATGTCATCCATTAAATAATACACCATAACTGTGTACTATATCAAATAACCTAATATGAAATTATACTCTACAGCAGTGATCAAGTTTGACTGTTATTTTAGAGTAACTCTAAAGGCCACCCTAACGACTACTGCTATAATCAATTAGGTTGCTGCATTTTATAAAAAGCCCCTTGTCCAAGCAAAATGGAGAATTTAAGAGGTTACTAGGTTGGACTCCAAAGCCATATGTAATATCTCGTTTATCGCGTGACTTTTCTTGTTCTCTTAATCACATTTTAGAAGGCCTGCCATCTGGGTACCATAGATGCTAATAATCTTTTATTTTTTAATTTCTGCGTCAGCGTCCAGTTTAAATAGCTTTATCACTGGGACTCTGAACATCCTCCTGAGGAAAATAGAGTGAACTTCCTGGAGTGATTTTAAAGGCAACCCTAGCAACTGCTGAAACAACCAGCCAAGTTCCGATATTTCCTCTACGAAGGTAGTTTTTTGTATAACAAAACAATTAATCGGTTATCTCACCAGTAATTAGGGTGGCCTTTAAAGTTACTCTGAAACTGAATGCTGCTGGATTTAAAATAAAACAATAAATACATCAGTGTTGGGTACAAGGTAAATATATACATAAAAGACTGTCAGTTGTGGTATAATACTGTGACCTCTCTGAATTAGAGATATAGCCATTTGGAGTTTGCCAAATTATTTGGCACTCGGTAAGTTACCACTAAGACATGATTTGTTTTAATTCGTAGTTCTCATTCGAGAAAGTGTGACAGAATGACACTAACGATCAATGTTATGGCACTGAAAATTCCCATCCAGTCGTTGATTGAACCAAAATGATCGGTGTCCATTAACATGAGGACCCCTGTGTGAATGCCTCGATATTGCTTGTCGTCTCGGTTTCGATATTAATGATGGATAGTGGCTAGTAGTGGGATTCAGGATTCACATTTTGTCCTGTTTGACAGTCTTCAGTTGGATACAGTTGTCTCCTAGTGAGCAATGCTGTTCCTACTAATACCCGAACCCGTGACCAATCTCTTAGAACGGCAGAGCATTATTCACTAGGCCACAGAGTCACGATAGTCATTTCTTGCGAAACGCGTATAGTTTATATGATGTCGTTTGTATCCGCATAGGGGCCTATATGTCAACGAAGACCGATCATTTCAGTCCAATCAACGACGGGACGATATACGCAACATCATATAAGCCTGAAATTCGTTCAACCACTTTCATCACCATGGTCATCAACATGATGTAACTCTTAGTATTATTTTTCACACCATTTCCTCTCTTGTTCTATCTTTATTCATTTGCTTTCTTATTCTCACTTAATTATTTATTTCAAACGCTCTGAGATTTGTTCAAATATAACTTATATCTAATGTCAACATTTCACCCGCTGCCCAATACTTGTGAAACTATCCGGTCAAATCTTGACTAGACGGGATTCATATAAAGTAATTATTTATCGTCATTTTTTTACTATCTGAGATACCCGTGATTTGGCAGACTAGTATTATTACTGGGTGATGATTGAATGTGAAATGAAAATTTGAACCGCAGCCGGATTCAAACCAGTGACCACCGGGTTTCCAGCTCGATGCTCTAACCTTGGGGATTGAAGTCAAATTAAAATCCGGTCAGCAGTTGGACCTCATAGCTCAGTTGGTAGAGCATCGGGCTGGAAACCAGATGGTGGCTGGTTCGGATCCGCCTGTGGTCCAAATTTTCTTTCACCTTCAATCATCACCCGGTATTTATTTATTGTTTATGAATTACCACTTGAGAAAATAAACTACATTTACTTTACCAGTTACTGTGCGATTTACCTAAGAATAATCTGCTTCACATTACTATAATTACCATTTTTAATGACTTATAATTACTCCATTGATTATTTGCATATTTATTTCTCAAATGCATTATTTTCATGACTTACTTAAAATCTATAGTTATTATTTATAAGTCACCCATCTGTTGATTGATGTTTTGATTGAATTGTAAATGTATATATCAATGTGGAGCTGAAGACAGTAACCTAATTGAAAAGGAATATATTGATTAATCATGGGAGTGCAACCAATTTCATGTTGTCTAGTCGTGAGTGCAGACCGAATCCTATCGAACATATTTGTAATGTGGCAACCAAGCTAGGAAGCTTAGTATCGCGGTGCACATTAGTAGATGTTAGTTGGTTGGAGGCAATCGGCAGGAAGCCCTGGACCTAGGTTTCATGCTCTTTGGCACTCGTCAACAAGGTGTATCAGCAACCTTTACGGGACTGACGTCCCGCCTGAGATGATCAGAACCCGAGTCACCCAGTGTTGTAGTCAGCGACTTTACCACTGAGTAGTTCGGGACGCAATTGACCTCATGTAGGACTGGCTTACATGAGCTGTTTGGTCACGGGAGTGCAACCAATTTCATGTTGTCTAGTCTTAAGTGCAGACCGAATATATTTCTTCCCTCAATCAATCTTTTTTCTACATTTTATAACACATTTTCCAGCCAAGCTGGTACGTATTCAGGGGTATAAAAGGCTAAACATCTCTGAGTACATCCTCCTTAGCTAATCGGTAAGTAGGAGTTAAGTTGATCTATACACACTGAAATTGTCACCATAAATGATTCCTCTTTAAGACATGCTATGGGTACTGGTCAGTAAGAGTTAATAGTAATTAAATCATTGCTTTAAAAAAAATCCAATGTAACTCAATTCCAACAACTGATTATATTCGCTGTCTCATCTATGACTATCTTCATGTCTTACCCTGGCTATTCTATAATAATATTGCCCAATGTATAACCGATTAGTCTCAGTAGAAGATACTGAGAAATATATATGTTCAATCAAATCATTAAAATTTGACAACTTTATTCATTTTCTTAGCTAGTAAATGTATTTGTAGGAATATTAATTGAGGAAAAATTAAGTAATTTACATATGATTTATTTATTGATATATTATTGGCAGAATTTTATCACTTATCGTGTATAGTATACCTTGAAATCAGTGTTTCCAACCCACATCGGGGTCACAGAAAATTGAACCAACAAGTAAACGATATCGGCGTATATTTAATCGTTAATGCCAAAATAAAGGTAAATCAGCTGATAAGGTTAATAATTCAAAATGGTCAATCCGTGTTACGCATACCAAGTTATTCACTACTTATAGAATAAAGTACATACTTAGTGGAATAAACACTACTGTATTCAAACTAGAGATATTATTTCTCCAAGATAACACTTTTGGAGATAGCAGAAATTAGTAGTCAGAAACTTCACTTAACACGTGATAGAGATGGATCAGTTTCAAAAACTCGATTAGTGTACTGTTTGTTACATATGGATTATTTATTTCCCAACTTCTAATTACCTTTTTGGACTGTGATTTCACCATTTTTTTGCGGTTGTTGTCCTTATGTCGATCGATTTTCTGATTGCATGACATTTTGAGATCGATCCACTATCATGTACAAGTTTCACACCGTTTCAAGCAGATGAAATTTTCAAGATAACAGTGATTTACGATTGAAAGAAAAACCAAAGTTCTCTTTTTTTATACATACTTGTTATTATTTCAGTCCTCAAATTATCGTACTAACCGTGATTGTACGTTATTGAGTTCACATGCTTAAAATATGCCTAGGGTACTTCAGCATTGTGATACATTATTAAAACAATTTCTTTT